GGGGGGGCTAATTCAAGGAGTTGGACGGGTTGCTTCCCAACTCGCAGGTTATATTCTGTATCTAAAATTGCGGCACTCGGACGCTGTGCAATGGTAGGTATAATTGACTACGAGGGATACTGTATCTACGTCGACACCTGCATGAACAGTGGAATGTGAGAACAGTTGAGAATTCCGGTCTGTTGACTCATTTTCCATCGCTGTATGAACGACGTTGATTCAACATCGATACATCCAGTGAAAGGTCCTGAACAGCTCAGAATTCCGTTCTGTTGACTCATGCTGCACTTTCGCCGGATTTCGCGTGGTTGTCGTGGCGAGCTCGGTCTGCCGACACGCGGTCATCTCAGTTGTGAGACGATGTCCATGCTGAATTCGTCGGAATTCTGTTGACTCACGCATAACACAACACAATTGTAGCGAGATTTCGATGAACGTTGAGCATTTGTTTGCGTGTTTGGGACTTTGGAACTTCTTGGATCACAGGTCCAGCGAAATAGAGTTTCATAGAATTCTATACTACGTAGTAGTAAAGTATCACTTCGGCTTGCTAATATATTAATTAATAATACATGTAGTGTAGTTAGTACGAATTGGCTTTGGCCCGTCGAGGTACGAAAGGCAGGTCCCAGCTCCGTCACCACAAGCGCGATGGACATACATTTGTTTGGATCGGGTGCGTCAAAGCATATAGCACGTCCACGACTACACTCATTCATTCATTTTCTTGCACTTGAGGGCTTCTAGTAAATTTAAAGTTATTTGAGATTAAACAAGAAATTAACAAGGTGTTACAGGATTTCTAATCGATGTGTGTGTGAGCGTACGATACCTGCAATTCACAAACATGGAGGAAATAACAGAACCGAGCCGTCTATGCTAGGGTACGGGAGATTGCGATAATGATCACGGCACTTGTCATCGGGACTCGTGTTGACCGTATTCGTGCCTGTAACTCGAAGAACGGCAGTGGGCTGAAGATGAAAGGCAAGACCTACCTACATTAACTCCCTGAGTCAACCCGTTACTGGTAGTAGACAACTCGATCATGGCTGTTTAATTCTATCTCCAACCACACAGAAGTTAAGGTGTAGCGAAACACATCAAGCAAAGCTCGTCGTAAGCAGTTCCGTATTATTCATCAATACAATCCGTTCGCACGATCTGTTGTGTCGATCGCGTAGATGCCATTAACCATTCACCGTATACTATGCGGTGCATACAGCAGTTTGTTGAAAGTGTTTGTTTCCTGTTCATGGCGACTTGAACCGTTCAGTTGATCTTCATTTCCAATTTGCTCTCAACAAAGCAAATCCACCACCTAACTGACTCTAGCCCACGATGAAGCTCTTAGCCATCATCACAACGCTGCTTACGTGCGCTGTTTCGACCGTTTCCGTTGCTGCCGATGGCGCGGAGGCTGCTGAATGGGGGTACAAGTACAACGATTTCAGCATGGCCAGTCCTGATCAGTGGTCGGAGCATTACCCCACGTGCGGCGGTTTGAAGCAATCACCGGTTGACCTTGAGATATCTGCTGGCTGCTACGGCGAGCCACGCCCGCTCACCTTCACTGGTGCCTGCACGGAATACAATCTAACCCAAACGAGTGAAACGTTCAAGGCTACTGTCAACAACGGTTTGTAGAAAAAGCACTGTCACGTCGATATTTGCGTTCGAAAACTAATACTTTGCTAGGTTCCTGCGTGGTTTCGGCAAACAATGCAGCATACAACATGCTGCAATTTCATCTACACGCTCCCTCTGAACACACGTTGAACGGTGAGCACCTGGACGGTGAAGTCCACTTCGTTCACAGCAACACGGACGGCTCTGCTCTACTGGTCGTCGGTGTCTTCTTAAAGGCGGTGGATGGAGGCGAGACGGATCCGTGGGTGGCATCCGTTCTGGACGCCTTGGACACTGTGAGCATGAACTCCACTGTCGGCATGTCAACGTAAGTATTTTCTGCTTGTTACTCGCCGTGCCAGAGGAGTCTAATAACAAACACCGCTATGCTCTCCTCCTGTAGCACCTCGTATGCCGACGTCATCAACGCTGCGGCAGACGCCCAAGGAGTTTTCAACTACGCCGGTAGTCTCACCACCCCTGCGTGCAGCGAAATTGTGGACTGGTGGGTGGTCAAGCAGCCAGTGAAGCTCTCTACAACCGACCTTAAACGCCTCCAGTCCCAGCTGAAGGAACTCCCGATCACCGACGACGGCAAGAACGCGCGCCCGGTTCACCCGCTCAACGGCCGTGTCGTCACCGCGTACGCCTAGCAACCCCATACAGTAATACAGAAGAAACCTTGTGCGATTTGCCTTGAGACGTGCCTCGCATTACTTGAGAGCGTCCACTTCCGTATTTATGCGGCGTCAACAATATCATAACAGCGAATTCATGAGGCTTGGTGGAGATTAGAATGCAGACCTGGGCGCCTTTAGTTAATGCACAGCCATGGTGAAGAACGCGTACACCCCTGCGCTACAGCGTTAACAATAAAAGAAAGTGGGCAGTTGTAGCGTTGGCAAAAGCCACAGCAGCGCTTCGAGATGGCGACTGATTGCGACGTTTTATTTCCCTCTGCGTTTACGTGCCGCCAACAGTGCAGAGAAGAGATGCAGGCCATCCAACTAATACTAGTACACTATTAATACCTACATGTATACTGGTAGGCCTTCTACACGAATACTTCAATGAGTACATGTAGAACAGTACTCTATGTGTTACCACATGTAATAATTTACATGTACGCACCAATAGTATTAAGGTGTTGTACATGTACAATGTCCGTAAGCAGCTTCATCCGGTACCGCGTCGGTGCCTCGCCAAGCAAGAAGGGGCTGCAAGTTGGAACCTGCAACTTGACTGCAAGTCGGCGCCAGCGAGCGCTCAGTGAGTGCCGCTCACCCCAGCTGGGAGAGCATAGTCCACGCATGAAGCGAACGACAACCACACTCCACCATTACAACATGTCATTATGATTTGAAGATTCGTGATTATAGGAAGTGGGTAAATTATTCTTGAAAATTGCTGCCTGGACTACGCCGCAGAGTCCGCACGAATCTCAAGAAAATTAAATTCCGATTGGCATGCACAGAGTAACTTGAATTTACTTTTGCTGTGAGTCCCAGAATCAGTAAGCTGACTTTACCTTTCACGAACGCCGTTTTAACTCGGGAAGGGGGGATGCTTCATGTGCCAGGCGCTAACCCTCCTTGCACAGCCTACTTACACTTTTACACCAGCGCCGCGGATCCCTGTTGCTAGAACGCATTTTACCTGTCGTATCGTTGTTTCTGAAAGCCACGGTGTAGGGCATAAACTGTCTAAAAACTGTTAAAGTATCTCCGATATCAATTGAGCATTAGAATTTAAATACTTGCACATGTATTGGCATGTGAAAAGCTTGATTTGCAGATAGTGCAAATACCGTGTAGGTAGGAGTTAAAATTTGTGTGTTTGCAATTGACACTGGCAAATTTATCATTTACGTTCAACATTGCTTGAAGTCGGGATTTGAAAGATCGTGCGCTTTGAAAGCGCTACTTACTTAAGTTTACTGTACTCGAACACGGTTCGTTAGTTGCTAGTGCAGCGGTTGCAGCTCACGAATGGTGCACAATTCCAGGTGTTCTAGTGTTTACGACTCATGGTCGTTGGGTCGACAGGATTTGGTTCTTTTCCTAGCAAATCGCAGACATGTCGTTAGGATCACAGGCTGGGCTTCGCTCCGGTCTACAGCTTTGTTGCCGTGTTGCCTTGCCTCTTCATGTTCCGCCTCAGTCACTTGTTGGTGCAGTGGTTTTAATCACTGCAGTCATTTTCTAATTTGCTGCGTGCAATACCAATCCCGTTGCCTCCAAGATGAAGTTCATTGCTACAATCTCGGCCGTTGTCGCGGCCTGCGCTTTAGCCGCTTCGACAGTTGATGCCGCTGGAGCAGACGGCGCTCCTTGGGATTACAATCCTAACGATGAGGAAAGGGCCAGCCCGGCACAGTGGGGTGCACACTACCCTTCGTGCAACGGCACACGTCAGTCCCCGATCGACATTGTGTCTGCTGACGCCGAGGAGCGAATCAAGGCTAAAAGCACTCTACGTTTCAGGGGAGATTGTCCCTCTTTCAACCTCACCCAGGGTGGAGAGGGCTTCAAGGGCAGTGTCGTCGATGGTGTGTAGTCGTTGATATGTCCTTCAACTTGCTACAAACAGCGTCTCTAACTGTTACTCATGTACAGGTTCTTGCCAAGTGAAGGCGAACAAGGCCCAATACGACTTGCTGCAGTTCCACTTGCACGCTCCTTCGGAGCATACACTGAACGGAGAGCCTATGGATGGTGAAGTTCACTTCGTCCACAGCAACGCCGATAGCTCAGCGCTGCTTGTGGTCGGAGTTTTCATGGAGATTGATCCTTCCGGCAACACGGATCCATGGTTGGAGACGGTCATCGATGGTATTGACGACGTTTCCCCTACCAAACCGATCATGTTGGACTTGTAAGTTCCCTGTCAAGCTTATCCCATTGTGAACTGTAAACTAATGGTTATATTCTGCAGGACGTCCTACTCGACACTGATCAAGAAGAGTGTCCGAGGTGGTGGCCTTTACAACTACCCCGGCAGTCTTACGACTCCTGGTTGTGACGAGATTGTCGATTGGTGGGTGGTGGAGAAACCGATGAAGATTTCGGCGAAGGACCTCACTCGCATTCGCGAGAACCAGGGAGAGATCGAAATGAACTATAAGAGCGAGAACGCTCGCCCGGTGCAGGCACTCAATGACCGTACTGTTAAGAGCTTCAAATAGAAAAAGCGTGGAGAGTCTCGTTTAGTGATTAGTATATCGTTTTCGTCATGTCATATCGCCCACGCTGCAGAGAAAGGTACCAGCGATGGCGACCTCACAACGTAGACTACAATGTAGTACTGGCATGAGTATAGACGATTGGAATTCTCTATTCTTGTGGAGGCGTTAGCCTTCAAACGGTCTTATCAAATTTGCTAAATGAATACTGACGAACATAAATTAGTACTGCTGAAGTGATTGTAACTGTGAGAAAAAAAATTATATATGTGAGTTTTTTTAACTTTTATTAAAACTCGACTATTTCAAATAATCGAATACACGGAATATACTAAAGTAATAAAAGTGAAATTTAAACAGATTCATTTTTGGGTAAACAAAAACTCTAGAGCCACACGTAATTTACAGACAGCTCCACCATAATGGTCGTGGGTGTCTTCTTGCAAGTAGCCAACGGAGGCGCGACGGACCCGTGGATGGTCTCGGTACTCGACGGGATGGAAGCTGTCACGCCGGCCGCACCGACGACGATGAGCCTGTAAGTTTGATCCTCGCGGTCCTGTGGAAGCCAGAAGAGGTTGCTGACAATTTGTGTTCTGTGGTTTGTTTGCAGTGGTTCATACTCGAACCTGGTGAACACCAACGCCGTCCGCCTCTACAACTACCCGGGTAGTCTCACCACCCCTGGTTGCGACGAGATCGTCGACTGGTGGGTGGTGGAGCAGCCCATGTCGATCTCGTCGGCGGACTTCACGCGCCTGCAAACGTAGCTGCATTCAAGTGCCACTGAGTCAACACGAGCAAAGAGCAAGTCATTCCTCAATTTTCCTTCAACAACCAACATCGATAGTAACCTCGCCCCACTAACTACAACTACCCTAAATATCTTCCATCACCAGCAGGACGAAGTCCAGGAGTTCAACAGGGTCAACACGACTCGATTCATGGATCTACTTGCAAATCGATAAGGCCTCCTACAACCACAGTGTCGACTTCTATAAAAGGTGAACAATATTTTTTAGGAACCAACATGCACTATCTGAGATTAGCGAAATCTACTTGAGACTGATGACCTTGCGTCCGTTCAGTGGCAGCACTGGACGAGCATTCTTGCCGTTATCCGTCACTTTCAGCTCCTTCAGTTGAGCCTGCAGACGTTTGAAGTCGGTGGGGGACACGGTGATTGGTTTTTGAACCACCCACCAGTCAACGATCTCATCGCATCCAGGTGTCGTAAGGCTACCCGGGTAGTTATAGAGGCGGTTTGCGTTGGCGTTCACCAACTTGGAGTACGAACCACTGCATACAAAATAAAGATACGGCTTGTCAGCACATTTAACCATTTAGTCCACGCAGGATATGAAGGCCACTACTCACAGACTCATGGACTCCCATTTCGTAGGACTGACGTTCTCCATTCCGTCCAAGATCGACACCATGAACGGGTCCGTCTTGCCCCTGTTCACGACGTCGAGGAAGACGCCCACCACCATAAGTGCAGAGCCATCTCCATTACTGTGAACGAAATGGACCTCGCCGTCAAGTGGCTTGCCGTTCAGTGTGTGCTCTGACGGTGCGTGGACGTGGAATTGAGCCATCTTGTAGGAAGCACCATTGGCTTTAGCCGTACACGACCCTATGAATGAAGCAAGATAACAGTAAGCAATAGAGCTCGACGCTACCTGACCGGATTCGGTGGCATTTCAACAGATCTTACCGCCAACGACGCTCGCCTTGAATGTATCATCCGTCTGCGTGAGATTGAAATCAGCGCACTCGCCACTGAACGACAACGAGCGCGTAGCCACATTTCCTCCCGTCGTGGTGGAGATATCGATGGGCGATTGTCGTGATCCCCCGCACGTCGGATAGCTGTTGGTCCACTGCGCTGGCCCAGCCATAGTGCCGTCGTTGGTCTTGTACCCCCATGGTGCGCCACCCGTCGTTGCGGCGCACACGGTGCTTTGGATGAGAGTGCAAGCGGCGATAATGGCGGAAGCGGTGGCGAAGAACTTCATGGTAGTTGATGATGGAAGATGTTAAAGGTGGTTGTAGTTA